GGCAGCTATGGGATCAAAACAACTGCCGTTTTACTCACATTCTTTATACTGCTCTTATCAGCCGATGAATGCTTTGCAAAAGATAAGCAGGAAGCTTTTTTTTTTTTTTTAAATGCAAATCCTTTAATGAATTGATCAATTTTACTCACAAACTCTGATTAAAGTGGTAGTTTGATATTTTGGGAATTTGCTTTCTTGCCGAGGCTCATGTAAGATCTGCTCTGTCCTCTCAGTTTAAAGCCAGCAGCCGGTTAGCTTAGGATAAAAACTAGACACGAGGGTAGCTTTACTCTTTCCACCGGTTAGAAAGGAACCTGCCTCCTAATACCTCTAAAGTTCATGAATACAGAAAGCCAAAGTGTATGAAATCAAGGTGTGCTTGTGCAGAGGTAAAACCAGGCAGCCATGTTTCTGATTGTGAATTTTATGCTAAGCTACTGTAACTGACTTCTTCCTCTGGATGAGCTAGATGGCTGTCCATCCCCACATTTGTGCAAAAACCAAAGTTTTCCCAAATGTTTGAAACACTCCGTGCAAAGAGATGGCAGTTCAGATGACCTTTACACAATCCCTCTGTTTTTAGGACTTCTGGGGGTTTTATTGTTGTTGTTTTGTCTACATTTAGGGCTCGCGGTTGAATGGGTAAAAGTGTTGATAAAATGAAGGATCAGCCTTATGTGAATAGATGTGCCTTGATTTCTTGAATTGGTTCTCCTCAAATCCATGCTGTCTGGTCTTCTTGTTAAAAGCAGGTGTGCTCGCTACCAGTGTTCAGAGAATGGAGCAAACGAGCACCTTCCACCCTCTGAGATGGATCCTGTACAATTTTACACGTTTAAACGCAGCACAAATAAAAGGAAAACTCCAGTACCTTAGTGAAGACGTGCTGTTCTCAAACATACTTATCCATATTGCACACGTGCACATTTCTGAAATTGAGATCAAAAACTTGTTAGAAGTGTGTGACATGTACGTTTTAAACCAAAATGCAATTAACTTGAGAGATATTGTCTTTTGTAAATTTAAACACCAGCATTTTTTTGCATAGGCTGCGTACGGTTTCCTTCGATGGGCTGTGCGAAAGTATGATTATTCCAAAGGGGACGTTCTGTCTGCTAGTGTGGTCCTCACTTTGTGGATTTGTACTTCTCCTGTGGCTCGCTATAGCAGTGTGAGAGCGTGAATCTTGTACAACAATCTGTTCCTTAAAATAGATGGCTATATATTTTTAATCTCTATTTGATTTTTAGTATGACAAAAATGCTGCCCTTTGGCGTTGTTTTCCTAAAGACCTGCATAATGGTGTGCTACTGTGGTAGCACCGTGTCACAGTGGGCATCTACCTTTGTAATAATGAAACATTAACAAATGTTGAGTTAAAAGGACTCTGAATGTTGTGTAACCTTTTTGGGGGGGGGAAATAAAACATTTTTAAAAAAAGTGTCTCCAGAGTTCAGTGTTGGTGCTGTAATTGGGGGTAATGGTAGTAGCTTGTATAGAAAGTCACCACCAGGGGCCAACTAAAGAAAAGCAGGCCACTTTTGACCTGCCGGTGAAAATATATCCTTACGGGTTATTTATGCTTTTCTTTTTCTTTTTTTTCCCCCCCACCTTTCCTTTTCACACAGGCTGCTGTGATACATCAGTCTGCAGCCTGCTGCATTCTGACATATGGATTCAGATTGATGTAGTTTACCCAGCAGTTCTAGAGCGTGGAGCCATTTCACTGGGGCTTGTCTGCGTTTACTTAACTCCATGTGCTTTCAGATCCCTCTGTAGGTTTTCACAATGATGAGCCCACCACACCCACAATTATACATTTGGCAGGATCCGGTTAATCCTCGGGGAAACGCTTTGAGGATGTTCATCACAAAATCAGTGACATGTTTTATCTGCAGGCACAAATGAGGCCTTTCAGTGTCCCATGCCAACAAATGAAGTCTTGGAAATGTTTTCCATTGCTGGGGGGGGGAAGGAATCTCATTCACGTTTTTGACTTTCACAAAGTAGGAACCAATTAATCATTTTAAAATGCATTTTACATAAATTTTTTTTTTTAGCTAAACAAAATCTTGGTATTTTGAGAGCATTTGAAATGTGAAACTGTTAAAATAATTGGGAAATTCCTTTAGATTGAATTAAATGGAATAGTGCAGAAGATTCTGGGTTTCAGCTGAGGCCTGACTGTGTGAAGTTTGCACATTCTCCTCGAGTCTGTGTGAGCTCCCGCAGTCTAAACACGCATGTCACATCCACCATAGGGGTGGCTATGACATGCACATCTTACCTATGACTACTGGGACAGGGTCGGGTTGGATGGAAGTTAAATAATGTTGTAATTGTTTGATATCAGATTTATCAAAATATCACCCCCCCCCACCCCACCCCCCCAAAAAAGAATCTAAATTCAATAACTTATAACAAATTTACAAATTTTAATGTGCCTGCCTCTTTCCACAAATACATAGTCCCATACTAATGAAGTATCTACATTAAAGTGCAGGACCTATCGGTGACGTAACGAAGCTAGTAAAAAGTTGTGTGGTTCCAACGGTAGCTACGTTTAATTTTACTGAGCGTTATAATAACAGCGTGTCACACAACCTTTGTTTACAGTTTGCAAACTTAAGGAGTTAGGGAATGGCAGGCAGTGGATCAAACCACTGTGAGGTACATATGGGGGAGTCCGCCTTTAAAGAAACTTACACCCCCACCACCACTTCTGAAATACCTGAAATGGGAACCGCTTGTTTAGTAGCTGAAATAACAAATAATTAATGAAGCAAAAAAAAACAAAAAACAAATTGATTGAAATTGAAATGATTAGCTTATTTCTGAAAAGTTTAAGTTAGGTTTCTCAAAATTTCGACTTGCTAAAATAACGCCGATTTTTTTTTTTTAGGGTAAACTAGCAACATGTTAATTTTTCAAGTTTTTCTTTAGAGAAGATGTGTTGTGTGAAGTGTCTAAAGCAGGGGTCGGCAACCCGAGGCACGCGTGCCACAGTTGACACCCGAAGGGTGGACTGGCCATCGGGCATACCGGGCATTTGGTCTGTGGCCTGATGATTTTTATTTATTTATTTTTTGTAACCTTATAAACAATGAAAGTGGTGGATTGGCCAGATGCTGGTCGGTGTGTAAAAAACTAACTCAGTTGTTTGGTGGTGGCTATGGCGGAGCTTCCACAGATTCAGTAACATTAATAAGTGGTGGAGGCCAGCAGGTGGATGAGAGAAAGGGGAGGCAAGAGGAGAGACCCGAGGCGGCCCCGGTCCGAGTGTCAGGTGAACTGAACTTCAGGTAAGAAGTTATGACCTGCAGTCTATCTGGGTCAGATATAAACCAAGTTTAGGTGGAGTTTATTTTCGTTATGCTGACTTTTTACAGTCAGTTACAATACCTCGTACTGCCTGAGCTAGCATGACAGAGTTTCTATACAGCTGGGTTTGTGCTTTGATGTTACTGATAGTGAACTTTATTTTATTCATAAGGTTAGTAGAGTTGCCAACCGTCAGTAAATTACCTAAATTACGTGTTTGGTGTTGAGCTGAGAAGGGACACAGTTTGTCCCGTACTTCAGCTAGAATAGAAAAAGACACAAAGGTGGATTTATTCTGTTACTCCGCACAGCTGCCTCTTCTTCTCTCATTCTCTCCCCTCTCTCTGCTGTTGCTACTTCAATCATGAAACTGATCAATGATCAGCTGATTGGCTTTTCTCTCTTGTTTGTTTATCGCCTACTTTGCGCCAAAAAGAGGAAACCGCCGGATGTCGCGCTAAACAACAGCAGCACGTTTAAGTTTGATCAGGTGTTGTTAGAATTTAGCTGCTGTTTGCTGGAGCCACAGCTGTAAAACCTGCTGGTCATGATGTCGGTTTGGTTATCTGGTGAGAGGGAAACATGAAGATGAAACCAGGAGATGTCCTTACTGGATCATCAGAGCTGAACAGGTGATGGAGAAACAGGTTTACCTTTTAGGTGACATGAATGAGTTGAAGGGTTGGGTTGAATATTAACAAACATGCCATATTGGCCCAGTTTATTTCTCTTATCATTGTTGTGAGGAGACCATAAATAGCATTTGTATTTTCTGTTGTACAGTTCATTTGCTGTCATGGAGTTCTTGTTATGGATAAAAAGTGTATTTTTTTGTTTCAAAACAGCTGATAACTATTCGCTGATAGCTGCCAACATCTGCAAACAAATATAATTCTATAAAGTGGTTCTATATATTGCGTAACTGTTCATATAGAGCCTTATTAAATTTATTGCTAAAGCAATCATATGGCACACTGACTTCTGAGGAAATTTTAAATGGCACTCGTCATCAGAAAGGTTGCCTACCCCTGGTTTAAAGTATTCATAGTGTAAATACAAAAAACAAAAACAAATAAATCATAGGCAGCTAAATAACAAAAGGTTTGAATTAAAGATAGTGTTACAGGTGTGCAGATTGATCCAAATGTTGACAGTATCGATACCAACTTTGGTTTTAAACATGAACTATGAAAAATGTCTCTACCGTTTTTTGTTGACTGTCATGTCTATTTTATTTAAATAACACGCTAAAAACAGAAGCTGAGCCAGAGTTTAGAGACAGGCACTTTTACACTCCAGGTCTCCCCCCGAAAAAAGAAGAAAAAAACACGTTTCAAAATACACCAAAAACTGAAACGTGGTTTTTTTGTGTTAACTAATTATTTTTATAGGTATATATCACCACTGGTGATTTTGTGGTCATTAAAACGTGTTCAGGGTTTACAAATTAATGATGAATCATGACACACAGATCTCCCCTACATAAGCTGCCTTTATAGGTTAAAAGTATCAGCAACACTGATCCTGGCTTTACTTACACGTAAATAAGAATAACACAGCGCCAAACGCGGGGAGGTTTAATGTTGCATAAATACATGTTACGCTCCACCTGTGCTCACGCCTAATTAAACATACCCACTTATACCCAGCTCCTCACCTAGCCCACCTTCAGCGCTGTTTTCCGCCTTGTGATTGCACCAGTGCTCACACGCTAGCGCGCGCGAGGAGGGTGAGCGGCACGTGCATGCGCCCGTTCCACCTGGCCCAATCACGTACGAGGAAGCTGAGAGCAGCGCTACAGTCTGCCGCCGCTGCCGTGGAGCCTCGCATTGACCCGCAGCTCGGCCAGCAGCTCACCTGACAGGGCTGACAGCCCGAGAAGACCACGCAAGATTTTCTCTCTGAAAAGTATCTTTCGCTAACACCAACGGCGTCGGAGCCCTGTCGTCCGTCCGGTGAGTCAAGCGGGACGGTAACCGCCGCATCATCACGCTCTGTGTGTGTATGTGTTATGTGTTTGTGAATGTGCGGTGTGTAACTCAGGTGTGGAGAGTCGTTGCACCGTGAGGAAGCATTTTAGTGAGGCGATGAGCGTTTAACCTTCCTGCTCTTTTGTGGGGGTTTTCTCTGAGGTGACAGTCGAGGTGTTCTGCAATGCAGTCCACGTCCAAAATTACATCATTTTGGTGATTTGGTGTAGTTCAAGCCCTGAATCTGTTGCTTTGCTGTGCATAAACGTCATGACTGTGTATCTCAGTATTTCTCTGTAGGACTTGACAGCATCAGTTTAAAATAAATAAATAAATAAAAAATACTTAGAAATGCTTGCTACATTACATTTCATTTTTCCTCCTTAAAGAAAAGTAGTTAAAGTTCTCCATTTAAACTATTTGAAAAGTTTCTTTATACAAGAGTGTAAAATACTCATGATTTTTAATTAAAATCAGGAAGTAACCTATCACAAAATTAAAATGTAAACAAATATGATTAGTGTGTAGTGCTCCTTTGGGGCTTTTGCATTTCCTGAAACTTTGTGCCAAAGTACAAATATATTGATTATAGCTTATATGCATATAGAGTGTGTTACTACTGGAGTAAAAACAAGTGTTTCACCAGCACAAGCTAATCCAACATGTAAGTCAGTGCTGGTTTTGTCTCAGCCCCTGCTTTCCTTGGCTTTTGTACACTGCTATCCATGCCCAGATGAGTTAGTGGAGTCCATTCAAGTGCTGGGAACAATACCCTTCAGAGAGGGGGGGGTGTCTCCTTGGGTCAGGTCAAGGGGGGGTGGGTCGCCCCCCGGGTTGCTGTGGAGGCAGAGAGTAACATGGAAAACTCAATGCTCTGACGTCAGCCCGAGGAGGAAGATATTTAAGGGGGTTTGATTTATTTGTGTGGGAGCAGGAGAGGGGGCTGAATAGTTGGTGGCAACTCGGGTCCCAAACATGCCCAAATCTGTCAGCTGTGAGCTGTCTAATACAGGAAAAGAGCTCAAAATGAAATTAAAGGCAAGGAAGAGTGCCACGCCTTTCACAGTGCGCCTCTAAGTGTTCAGAGTGGGTAATGTCAGCCGTATGCATGTGTACCTGTGGGTAGTCTTTCCCAGGTATTAAAATGTATCCTAATGAAGCCAGCTCAAGTGTCTTGGTGCCCCTGGGTAAACACTTTCCTCACTGCCGTGTAAACATGTTAAAACCTACTGTTGTCTCTATGGTGACCTGAACACCTGCTTTATTCTCACTCAGGATGTGTTGGTTAAGGCCTAGTTTCCTCCAAAATCATACACAAAATAATGTGATTAATGCTTAAGCTTCTGTGGCAGTCAGTGAAGCCAAGCGGTGCAGCGAGATTTGCTTAAAGCCGATCTTGGCACAAGCCTCATATTGCTGAAGCAACAACTGGAGCCCAGAGCCAGAGAAGATAGACAGGCGGTTGCCTGCTGCAGGCCAGACACTGAACACCTGTTAACAAAAGAACAAACGCGAGATGAATAAAGCTCTTCTCGCTTTTTTTTTTTTTTTTTTTTTTTATAAATCTGCAGCCTCACAGACTGTGTATCCCGTGCCATCTCATCCCTCCATTAGTGTCACTATCCCGCCTGAGTAGGTTTTGGTTTCACCTGGGTTTCTCTTCCCTCTGTATTTTTTATTAGGTTAGATTCGGGGCTTGTTTTGTGATAGGATGTGTATTGTTGTTCTGGAAAATTCCCTCTGAAGAAGCTTTGGCCATGCTTTGTCATCATTAAGGCTTTATTTTCTAGTAAAAATACAAATCCTACAAAGTACTACAGAACTAAAATACTGTGGTGTACATGGTGTTTTCTGAGCCTTCAGGGATGACATAAGCACGATCAGCATGATACAGTAAAGGCAGTGAGTTTGTGTTATATTTAACAAAACAACACCCATTCTTCTGTTAGCTCTGACCAGCTGACAAACTGTCTGTTCTGTTTGTAAAGAAATCATTGCATCTACATTGCCATTTATTGCAAAACTAACAGAAAAACAGAAATTAAATACTTGCATGCAGACTGCAGCCAGAACCTCACAGATTTGAAGCAGAAATTCCTTCATAAATACTGACGTGGTTGCTGCAGGGCTGGGGTTTAACTGCAAGATGACTTTGGAGCTTGGTTTTATATTGGAATAAAAGCAGAATACAACCAACAACTAAGTTCCCCGATGCAAAGAGACATGTTGCAGGCAAGTTGCCCTCATTAGCAACTTGTCTGCATTTATAAATTAGACTGCACTTATTTGCAAATCTTCACCTATCTGTTTAAGAGTGACTGCAACTGTTTGGAGACGGGTTGCCTCGCACTTGACGACCTGTGCAATCGCCCTGTGATCGGAAGGGATTGCACAAGGAGGCTGCTGTCCTTTTTTTACTATAGTGAGTCAATGTGGAGAAAGGCTCGGGTATAGTGAAATATCTCAGTGGTGTCATGCCAGTCCTATTAATTATAACCAGAGATATTGTAAAGCAATGACATGAAAGTCATATTGAAATACAAAGTAGACTTTTGTAATGCCAAAGTTGCTCCCTCAGACCCAATCATCAACTTATAACTGGTGAACAAGGACTCGCATCATCCAAGCCAACATGGCAGCTGAAGTTCATGACAGTTTCAGTTATTGTAGCAAAGATCTTTTTCTCGGGTATCACTGTCCATCGTGTGAATGAGCACAGCATTTGTTCAGTGCCCTGGTGCGATGGGGACAGATGCTGATTTTGTGTGTAACATTAATGAATCTGTAATCGTATAGAATAAATATAAAATTGAGAGAACAGCTTTTTTGAGCCTCGTTTTTAAATCAGATTTGACTTGTGAGTCAATATGTGCTGTTTTACAGATTGTTTTACAGTAGTCACCAAGACTTTTAGTCATTCATATAGATGATGGTATGGTGTAAGTTGCACAAATTAACCGTGGAGATGGCTGCTTTTTTTTTTTTTTTTTTTTAGTTTAACTTTTTGTCCACTCACTAAATTGCCTGAAGATGAAATTTAGCTCAAGAAAACATCTATTACCCAAGTAGATCTTTTTAAAAAGCCTTTGTACAAATAGCACAAATACTTAATCCAAAATATCAACAGTGCTGCAAATTAATCACTGAGTCCATTATTAATTTCAGCAGTAGTAGAAATGGTGCTAAGTTTGAGTCTGATGTGTCGAACGCTCTGGTACACATACTAAATGAGGTGTTGGTCCAAACATGTTCTGCTTGGCTGGTTATTAAGAGGATTGGCACAGATTTTTGTTTGTTTGTTTGAGATTTAGCACTGGTATTACTGCTGGTTATATGATTAAATGAATTCCCTCCGGAGTTGCAGGTTAGCTGACAGGTGTGGTACCACCAGTTCCACAGCCAGGATACTCATTCATATTGGTCTTAACTGAAGCCTGCTTAAACAGTAATTGACAGAGGCACCTCGCGTGCTCTGCAACTGGCAGCTTTAATCTTTAAAATCTGAAAACCTCGTTTCAGTGGCAGGCTGCTATTAGCAGATTTGTGCTAAGCTAGGGGGATATGTTGTGTTTTGGGCTGCTGTAGGTGTTTGGTACACAGTGAAGGGAAGACAGTTACAAGGTTAATTTGAGGTTTGGCATCCAAAGTTAAGATATATTTATACTAGGCTGTTGTCTTCAGCCACGAAGTGATTTGGAGTTGATGTAAGCTGTAATATAATTCGTGACGCTGTTGGCAATCCTTGTGTTTCACCCATTTACAGCTTTAAAGTGCAAAATCATTTCTCCTAGCTGTCACCAGGCTAGCGCTGTTTCTCAGTGCAGCAGAGACAATGAAAACAAAGGCTTTAAACATGCAGGGAGGCTTTTCTATTGTTGTCCATGACTGATCTGTTTGAGATAGATTTGTCAATAATTACAAAGAAGATTATTTTGGCTGCTGGCAAAGGAAATGAAGCCGGATTGAAAAACACATTCACTGACTAAGTAGTTTTTAGAAGACAAAAATAAAACAGAGTCCCTCTTACAAATCAAACATTTCATTCATGATTCCTAAAAAACAAATGGTCAGTACACTTCTTTTCCTCAGTGCCAGGCTCAAACTATTTCACCACCATGATTTAATAATGTGTCTTAACTTTAATATTACATTTGCCTGTTTTTGGTCAACTCACTGTTACTGTTATTTGATATAATAAAGCAGCTGCCTGTTTAATCTAAGTCGGATAGCCAGTGTTGAAGTACAAAAGTCTTGAAGACCCGTGTTTCTGTCAGTTTTGCTTTCAAGGAGTCAGACTTCCTTTTAATTTCTTTTATAGAAAGGTCTTTAGCAACAGCTCTCCACGCTTTGTGAAGTTTTCCTTTGGACATTGACAGCTTTTTCACCAATTTTCAGTCCAGTCCTTAAATGTGACATTTTCATAGGAATGTTTTTTTGTGGCTATTAAGCCACTTAACACTGACCTATGAATCATTCAAGCATGAAAAAGGCTCCAAACCGAAGGGATTGACAAGTGTTGTGTTTACACATAGTAGACAAAGAATAGTTTAGGCACTTTGTTTCTAGCAGCCTTTCACAAAAACACAAAAATGTATCATCAGATTTAGATCCACCATGTAATACTGTGTGAGAAGCATCAACTTTTTCAGCTTTCAGCGTGACAATGGTAAATGGACTGATTATTATTTAGCAGAGTACTCAAAGCCCTCTATACAACATGCCACATTCACCCATTCACACAAGCACTTTCTTCTAAGCTTTTAGTGCTTCCTAGCTAACATTCATACACAGTCATACTCCGATGGATGTATCGGAGAGCAGTTTGGGGTTAGTATCTTGCCCAAGGAAACTTGACATGCAGACTGGAAGAGCCAGGTATTGAACCACTAACCTTCCGATAAGTAGATAACCTGCTCCACCTCCTGAGCTACAGCTCATCCCAAATACACTGCCAACACAGTAAACACATACCTGGATATAAAACA